GAAACAGCATCCAGACCCCCAGGGGGTGGACTCCACGGCTTCACCCGGACTTCCATCTCAAGTGGAACCCGTGCGCAGCCTCTCGTGGCGCCGTTGCAGGCTAGACTCCGGGCCGGCAAGCGCTCGTCCACCTTGGCATTCAAAATGAACCCATTCACATCAAGTCTAATTGTCTCTTTGTTCACCTTGCATGAAGGATGACTTGTGTATATGTCGTTGAAACTCAAGTCGTCCAGAAAAACCTACAACGGTATTGCTCACGTACTATTTACCCCGACGGACGCAAACACGCGCGCGCGCGCGCAAACGCATAAGCATCAAGTGTATAATTACGAGGTTGGTAATAGCTTGTTCATTCTCTTGTTGTTTCCGTCCAGTGAGAGCAATGGAAGGTTCTGTTTGGCGGCCGGAAAACATAAAGTGCCGGGGGTGGTTTGCATTCGTAAAAGATAGAGGTTATATGGTTGTGGAGATTGCCGTAGCGAATAGTGCAATTGTATCCCCGCAGGAGGACGAGAACTTTGAGTACAGTTACAGCCAAAAGGGTAGCGGATTTTTGGCTATCAAGGGCGATGCAGAAGGGCGACCATTCGCATTGACGATACAGACATTGGGGTTTCTTCTTGGAAGAGATAATGTGGAAGCAGATGATATCCCGTTTGTTGGATGTCATGCCAAGGCTATACATAAATCCCACAGATGGATCATTACCATACTACGACCTGCAGGTACGCATGCCCCTTAACATACAGCACGCCCCTTAACATACAGCATTCCGTTTAGGCTTTCCCTCCTTTGATGAGCAAGCCTGGACGGTGGCAGATCTAACCCGGGTCGGCTTCTGCGGGTTGAAGAAACTTAGTCGAAGTCATCTCCTCGTCCACCCGGCGCCTCGCTCCTCAACCCAGGAGGAGAAGACCACCGGCTGGCAGATGACGTCTTTGAGCTCCAACGGCGTCACGCTCGGGACTGGGGAGCGCCTGGCAGACGGCAAAACCAGGCTGCTAGATCAAGAGACCAAAGTAGTTTTGTGTGCGGGGTTGGTCAAGCTTCAAATCATTATTTAGTCACCCCCCTCCCCGCCACTCCCCTCCTCGCCACTCCCCTCCTCGCCACTCCCCTCCTCGCCACTCCCCTCCTCTCCCGGTTCCGACTAGTCCCGGTTCCGACTAGTCTCTGGCTCACAGCGAGTAGCCCGATGATGGTTCTGGCTGGTCTCGGCGACTCCTTCCGGCGGTTGCGACTCCTTCCAGTTGCGAGATAAAAAAATGACCAAGGAGGACAACCTGCGGCTGGAGGTCGATCCGGAGTGCGTGGAGCGATATTTCGTAGCTCCGTCAAGTGACGACCGGCTTGTGCTGGACGGTGACGGACGGCGGGTACCGGCCAGTCCTGCAGAGTTTTTGAAGTACGTCAGGGAACAGTGTGGCGAACTGGTGGACGGCTACGCGCCGTTTTGCAAGCATTTGTTCGTGCCCTGTCCCTACTCCTTGCTACCGTCCTCCGTGCCCATCGAGTACACGGCGGCGCGCACGCGTGTGCACCCGGACGGCGGTCCTGGCAGTGGCGACAAATTATTGCCGGTGTATACGGACTACGTTGCGCGTCGCACTTCGGAGTTGCCTGTGCTCGTTCGGTACGTGAAGGCTGAGGATGTATTAGGTCAGTGCTGTCGGGCCAAGTTCATCGACTGCATTCTCTACAGCCGGGTGCAGATGATCAAAGAATATGAAGCTATGCACATGGATCCGGCCCAACTGCCGGACTGTGATTGGCTCGTGATTTCGCTCAAGTACCAAAACGAGAACCACGAGACGCCCATGCAACCCATCACCATGCTCAGAAACACTTTGATTGAAGAAGGCGGCAGCGGCGTATCCCTTGACCGAGAAAAATACGCCCAGTCAGTCGCCTACTGGAAGGAGCACATAGAGGTCCTTTAGGACGTCCTTTCTGCTGCTGGAAAGAGACGAGTAACGCCCCCGAGTAACGCCCCCAAGGAAGAAAGCTTCCAGTCAGCATCCGTCAATGGCGAGGGTCTCGGAGAAGCGAGTATTCGCACCTGGGCCAATGGGGTCAGGACCAATGGGGTCAGGACCTAGGGGGTCAGGACCAGTGGGGTCAGGACCAATGGGGTCAGGACCAAGGGGGTCAAACAGCAATATTTTTTCGTCCTGGCGTCACTAGGGTTGAGACTCCATTGCGCTTTTTTTGGGAAGCAAATTTCAGAACTATCATGGCATGGCTCCCTGGGTCATTTAGTTACGCGTCAGGAGCAGACCTGTGCTACATTGTGGTTGGTATTCTGGTCGCTATAACGGGAGGATGTCTTATGGTAGTCCCCTCACTGTCTCTCCTCGGCCACTGTCTTTCCCCGGCCACTGTCTTTCCCCCCCCCCCCCCCCCCCAAGTGTCAGATCGTTGATGTATACTATATGACGATGATCTATACTATTGTTTAGCCTGTTTTTCTGAGTTTGTTTGGTGACCTTATGGATGCTATGAATTCACCGACGGCGGCCCATCCGATTATATGGTATACAAGGATGCAATTATATTTTGGTGTTGCAACATTTGGATGTTGTTTGATATCTACGGCGTTATTGTGTATGGCAGCTGAGAATCAATTGAAGAGGATTGGACATAGTTATATGGCGAGTATTATGCGTCAAGATATGGAATGGTTTGATGGTCAGGATAGTGGGAAGTTGGCGGCTCGAATATCTGAGTCTATGGTGGCTATTAGGAAAGGATATGGAGCAAAGTTGGCTCAGATGTGGTTCTTCTTGGCAATGTTTTTCGGAGGTTATATAATCGCATTAATTCGTAATTGGAAGATCTCACTTGTTGTCTCTAGTTGTTTACCTTTAATGGGTTTAGCTACGATGGGGTTCTTTTGGTTCTTTAGTAGGAATGATAAGCTTCAACGTGAATCATATGAAGAGAGTGCTAGTATATTAGAAGAGACATTATTGGCCCTTCGTACTGTAGTATCGTTTGGACTGGAATCTAGAACAATTGATTTGTTTTCACGATCACTTGATAGTGTTCGGAAACAAGTGCTGTTTAGCTGTATCGCTATTGGTGGTACTTTTGGTGCTATTTTTGGCGTCTTTTACTGGAGTGAAGCATTAGGATTCTGGTATGGTGCCAAGTTGATTGCTGATGATATTACTAAATATGGTATAGAATGCTTCGACCTACAAAATAACAAATGTATGACTGGTGGAACGGTGTTGTCCGTTTTCTTTATTGTCATAACATCAATGTTCTCCATAGGACAATGCGCCCCTTGTCTAGGTAATCTTACCGAAGCAATGGGGTGTGTTAACTCTTTAAGAAAAGTCATTGAAAGACAATCAAAAATCGTTCCTAATGATATAAATCTTCCAGACTTCGAACAAGTTACAGGCGATATCGAATTGAGAAATGTTAAGTTCCATTATCCCAATAGACCTGATACTTCTGTCTATGAAAATCTAAACCTAAAAATTCCCGCAGGAAAATCCATTGCCCTCGTAGGAGAATCCGGCTGTGGCAAAAGCACCATTGTTCAGTTATTGGAACGCTACTACGATATTACTGAAGGACAACTTTTGGTAGATGGTATTGAACTACGGGAGAGGAATCTTCAGTCATTCAGAAAATATGTAGCACTCGTTTCTCAAGAGCCACGCTTATTCGCTACCAGCATTCTAGAAAATATTCGCGCAGGACGAACCACGGCCTCTGATGAAGAATGTTATCAAGCTGCGAAACAGGCAAACGCGCATAATTTCATAACAGAGTTTCCCAAAAAATATCACACGTTTGTAGGAGAAGGAGGCGGACAACTCTCGGGTGGTCAGAAGCAGAGAATTGCTATCGCCAGGGCCATTTTACGCGACCCTTCAATTTTAATATTGGATGAGGCAACCTCAGCTTTGGACAATGAGAGCGAAAAAATAGTTCAAGACGCTCTTGACAAGCTGGTTGAAATGAAGAAACGTACCACTATCATTATCGCTCATAGGCTGACTACTATACGCCGGGCAGACATGATAGCAGTCTTTGAGAAAAAGGGCCAAGCTCAAGGCTCGGTCATTGCTGAACTGGGCACGCACGATGAATTGATGAGCATTGACAATGGCATTTACCGTCAGCTAGTGCAAGCTCAGACACTGAAGAACGTAGAGGAGGCTGCAGAGATAGCGGAAACCATTGAGGATCTGCCAGCAAGATCTTCTTCGATCGCTAACATGGTTCGAAAGTATAGCTCTCGAAACAGTCGGTCACATTCCAAGACCCGATTCGGCTCACGACTTGGTTCAAAATTCGGGTCCAAGAATGGCTCTAGATTAAGCCGTTTGGGCAGCAAGGATGAGCAGGATGGAGCAGGTGGAGGTGGCTGTTTTGGAATCGGTACGAAGAAGACGACTGCGGCAGCGGCGGAAGAGCCTATGAAGGTTGTGCCGCTTTCCCGTCAAATGAAGCTGCTGAAAGAACACCCAATGCTTACGCTAGGTGCTGCGGTGGGCGCGGTGTGTGACGGTTGCGCTATGCCCGTGTACGTGATATTGTTTGGTGAGTTTATGGGCACGTTTTATAAAACGGACCCGTCGGAGATTCGTGACGACGCAAGTAAGTTTGCGATATGGTTGGTGGTGTTTGGTATTCTGGCTGGCACGGCAT